CTGGGCTTTTTCGATTCATGGGAGCAGTTGGGAGGAACTTAATCGTCGCAAACACTTTTGGGTCATTCTCTTTGCTTGCGATTATGGTGATGGGTGGATTTATCCTTGCAAGAGGTGAACTGATACTGCAATTTAATCTCAAAGAGGCATGCTTAATCGTTCTCATTTTCTCCCCTTCTCTCAAAATATGACAAAGATGCGTTTATTTCCTTCAGATGACGTGAAGAAGTGGTGGTTATGGGGTTACTGGTTCTCACCCATGATGTATGGTCAGAATGCTCTAGCTGTGAATGAATTCCTCGGAAACAGCTGGGCACATGTAAGCAACAAAATCTGACTCAATGACGTAAACGAAAGAATAAGAGGTTATGGTCAACGTCTGATGATAGATGAATACTGTCTTTTTTTTTGGCTGTTATAGGTTCCTCCTAATTCAACAGAGCCATTAGGAGTACAGGTGCTCAAGTCACGTGGACTCTTCCCTCAAGCATACTGGTATTGGATTGGAGTAGGAGCTTCCATTGGTTACATGTTCCTATTCAATTTCCTTTTCGCTTTGGCCTTGCACTATCTTGACCGTAAGGATCCTCTACAAATACATTTTAATAGTTAATACTGATTCAATGAGCTAATGGTTGAATCAATTTTCTGCAGCATTTGAAAAACCTCAAGCAGTAATATCAAAAGAGGACTTGACTGAGAAAAATGCTAGCAGAAACGGACAGGTCATTGAACTGTCATCAACACAACAAAGGTCATCTGGTAGGGTCACAAAGTTCAATATTCACCAACTTCTCCATTTTATTTATTATTTTCATTATGTTTAAGATGATACATATGATCACAAAATGCAGAAAAAGGGAATGAAAGTCGAAGAAGTATGTCATCCAGAACGCTATCTGCAAGAGTAGGTAATGTTAGCGAAGCAGATCACAAGAGGAAACGTGGGATGGTTCTTCCTTTTACTCCTCTTTGTATGACTTTTGACGAAATTAGATATGCCGTGGACATGCCAGAGGTACCACATTTTACTTCAAAAAGACCCTTTTACGATAAAGAGTACAACTGCATTAAAAAAAAAAAAAACTGCCATGCATGTTTTTGCAGGAGATGAAAGCACAAGGCATTACTGAGGATAGACTTGAAATATTGAAGGGTGTTACTGGAGCATTTAGGCCAGGAGTTCTTACAGCACTCATGGGCATAAGTGGAGCTGGAAAAACAACTTTAATGGATGTGTTGGCAGGACGAAAAACAACTGGACATATTGAGGGGTCTATTTCCATTTCAGGTTACCCCAAAAAGCAGGAGACTTTTGCTCGCATATCAGGATATTGCGAGCAAAATGATATTCACTCTCCTCATGTCACAGTTTATGAGTCTTTGGTTTACTCCGCATGGCTTCGCTTACCCCCTGAGGTTGATGCTGCCACCAAAATGGTAATTAAAAGCCTCTTTGGTTTTCCAAGGGTTTCTTTCTCTTTCGAAATTAAACTCAATTCTTAGAAATCCTATTGATTGATTGCAGATGTTTGTTGAAGAAGTAATGGAATTGGTGGAGTTAAAGTCACTGAGAGAAGCACTTGTTGGATTACCTGGAGTAAATGGTCTGTCTACAGAACAACGCAAGAGACTAACAATTGCAGTTGAACTTGTAGCCAACCCATCTATTATATTCATGGATGAACCGACCTCTGGCCTTGATGCTCGAGCGGCAGCTATAGTAATGAGGACAGTCAGAAGTACTGTAGACACAGGACGAACTGTAGTTTGTACAATCCACCAACCTAGCATAGATATATTTGATGCTTTTGACGAGGTAAAGGTCTCTTCTTTTTTGCCTCCCTTTCTTCCCCAATTCTTACCAAAAAAAATTCTAGTATTAATTCATGTTGTTGCGTCAATATAGCTACTTCTGTTGAAAAGGGGAGGCGAGGAAATTTACGCAGGACCTCTAGGCCAGCATTGTTCTCATCTTATCAATTACCTTGAGGTCAGTACTCAGTACCAACTTAAACGAATAATAAACATGCAAACTTGTGGAAGTCACAGTCAGTTTAACGATACTGTAAGGTGTGCCTGATTTGATGTAGGGAATTAACGGGGTTCCCAAAATAAAGAATGGCTATAATCCTGCCACGTGGATGTTGGAGATCACCTCAGATGCACAAGAAACTTCACTTCAAGTAAACTTCGCTGAAGTATACAAGAACTCTGACCTGTATAGGTACGTACTTATCAAATTTAAGAGCAAAACGCATATCGTCATACAGTATGAGAACTTTTGTGGTTGACTAACACAACTACTTGCATTCAGGAGAAACAAGGACATGATCAGAGAACTAAGCATAGCTCCACCAGGTTCTTCTGACTTGTACTTCCCAACAAAGTACTCACAATCATTCTTTAGTCAGTGTAAGGCTTGCCTTTGGAAACAACATCTGTCATATTGGCGAAATCCGCCATATACTGCAGTGAGAATTTTCTTCACAACAGTCATTGCTTTACTTTTCGGAACCATATTCTGGGACATTGGCTCCAAAAGGTACTTACTACAATACCTGACAATCTAGTACAACCACATTTGCCATTCACTATAGTTATCACTTTAACTTTTCAACTAATTCAGGCAAAAGCAACAAGATCTTTTCAATGCAATGGGATCAATGTACGCTGCAATTCTGTTTATTGGGGTGCAGAATGCTTCATCAGTACAACCAGTGGTGGCCATTGAGAGGACAGTGTTTTACAGAGAGAAAGCAGCAGGAATGTACTCTGCTTTGCCATATGCATTTGGACAAGTTGCCATCGAGATCCCATACATTTTCATACAAGCTGCCATATATGGGGTCATAGTATACGCCATGATTGGATTTGAATGGACTGTCGCCAAGTTCTTCTGGTACCTCTTCTTCATGTTCTTCACCTTCCTATACTTCACCTTCTATGGAATGATGGCTGTGGCCATGACACCCGATCACAACATTGCTGCTATACTTTCCTTTGGCTTCTACTTAATGTGGAACCTTTTCTCAGGGTTCGTCATTCCCCGAACTGTAAGTACCTTCATTGCTGCCCCTTTTGCTTCGTTTTAACAGAGACCATGTGACTTACAAAGGTTAAATTTTGTGGTGAAACAGAGGATTCCGGTATGGTGGAGATGGTACTACTGGATTTGTCCAGTTTCTTGGACCCTGTATGGATTGTTTGCCTCACAGTTTGGAGATGTGAAGGACAAAATGGAATCTGGAGAGACAGTGGAAGAGTTTTTGAGGAATTATTTTGGGTACAGGCATGATTTTCTAGGCATAGTTGCCATAGTGGTTGCCGGCATTTCAGTGTTGTTTGGACTTATCTTTGCCTTCTCAATCAAGGCATTTAATTTCCAAAAGAGATAGAGATTCGTAGCTCGTGAAACTTAATGATTCTGTACACATACACATACATTAAAAAAAAAATACAAAAAAGTAGTGAACTTTGGTTGTAATTTCTGGAAATGGTCTCCTTCAACAACTGTCTTTCCAAAAGCTTCTGCGTTGCTGTCAACTACGGTGGTAGGATGATTACACAAGGTTTGAAAAGCGAGGCATTGGATGGCAAAAGGAGAGAAAAAGAAAGAAAGCTTTAAGAAAATGCAGAGGCATCCTATGAAAGTAATGGAAACGTGGAACACACGTCGGCGAGGTTGTCGTTTGTCCCTCCACATTTTCTTCTTTGTATGGTACACCTACCATTTGCCATGTTTTCTAATGATTACTGGATCCCCGCTCCTCCTATTTATTTTTATAAAAAGGTCCACCATGTATCTACTGAGGATCCCACCAATGAATTAAAAATACATATTTAATTTTCATTTTTTTAATATTTGTTTTCTTATATCATTTTCATACTGTCGTATGTGATGCTTTTATTGATTTTGTAGTATCAAAACGATTCAACAAGTGATGCTGACACTCCACAACCTACTTAAAATTTTCAACTCATTTGAAAAAGGGGTAAGGCTGAAGCGCAGCCCTAGGAGTCAATTCGGGAGCTGGGAAGAGATATTAATCATTTATATTTTCATCTCTATCTATCCAACTAAAATTGAATGGCCAAGAAGGAAAAACTGCGTATTTGTCGAAATATATGTTAATTGAATTATTGAATTGGAAAAAAAAATTACAAACAGTACACGTAACTCAACAGGTCATGCTGACGTATTTAAAGGTCATTTCCAGCATAATTTACTTATAAGTCTCATTAATTTCGTCTTCGAATTTAATAATTTTCTCATTAAACACTCAATCAGTTCACAATCAGCCACCAACTCTTTTTTTTTTTTTTTTTTTGGCTATGACTTCAACCACCAAACCAACAGACCCCTATATCAAACTCATCCGATTAAAATGATAGTGTCGTGTTAGCCCGCGGTGGGTATCATGGGGCTAAAATATGTGTAATTCGTTTGCTGTGCTGACTTGACTTTGTTGAATACAGTTTCTATTAAAAAAGAAAAAGGAAGAGGAATATGTGTAATTGAATTGTAGTACATTTTGTTGCCGGCCATCCTTTGTTCAACTATTATTAGTCCAATTTGGTATTTTGTAATGGGCATTACAATTATAATTATAAATATCTTAACAGCTATGACTCAACAATCTCTATTCTTGTTATTTATTTTAAAAACTAAAAAAAAATATTTCTTTTTTCAGCAGTCATTCAGAAAGAGATGTCCCATTTTTATGCCGTTTAACATTAGTGGATTCCCCACTAAGTTTTTGACAGAACATGCTCGACATGCTAAAGGTTCTTCATGCACATGTCTGAATCTCGCTCCACAAGGAAATAAGAATAGCTGTGTATCTGTCTGTGATTGAAGACACCAAGCATGGTTATTGTTTGATGCAGGAGAAGGCCAGAAGCTATTCCACCTCCTTTTGACATGAAAACGAGTAGAAACATTATCCCCTGAAACTTTTGGATCGTTGAAATCTTTAGTTCGAGTTTGAACCAAATCAATGGAGAAGAACGAAGTGTCCAGAGTTAATAGTTTACGTGAAATAACTAGAGCTGAGAGCCTACGCACCAATGGTTCTAAAGTCTGGAGGAGTAATAGCATGGAACTGTTCTCAACCTCTGCTCGTGAAGATGATGAAGAAGCTCTTAAGTGGGCAGCAATAGAGAGACTTCCTACGTACCTGCGCATAAGGAGAAGCATACTCACTAATGATGAAGGTAACGCTAAAGAAATCGATATCAAGAAGCTGGGATTAACGGAGAGAAAGATTCTGTTGGATAGACTCTTGAAATTAGCGGAAGAAGATAATGAACAGTTTTTGTTGAAACTTAAGAAGCGCATGGACCGGTGAGTGTAGTGATTTGCCGGTTTTATTCTTGTGTCTTAAAGTCATAGTCAAAGATGAGTTTAAATTTCACATGGTGTTTGTTCATTTGCTCAGAGTTGGACTTGAGATTCCAACAATTGAAGTTCGATTTGAGCATATAAATGTGGAGGCAGACGTCTACGTTGGAAGCAGAGCGTTGCCCACAATGTTCAACTTCTTTGTGAATGTCTTAGAGGTATTTCAGTACGATCCATACTATGTTTCTGACTTGTTGATGTTTTTTGTCTGAGTACAAACTCAATGCCCTATTTCTTTATCAAGGAATTCCTAAATTATCTCCACATCATTCCGAGTCCAAAGAAACCACTGCGTATTCTTCAGAATGTTAGCGGAATCATCAAGCCTCAAAGGTGAGTTCAAGTTCCATTTCTTCTTTTTGTAAACGAAAGAGCAGGCATTCATTGCACACCCTCCATTCAGATTATTCCTTCTTTACTGGGTATGATATTTTTGCAGAATGACATTGCTTTTAGGGCCCCCCGGCTCTGGAAAGACTACTTTGCTATTGGCCCTGGCTGGAAAACTCAGTAAGGATTTAAAAGTAAGGAAACCAACTTTAGCTGTCATAATTAAAAGGGCTGCCTGTTAAGGAATTGTTCAGTTGAACATCTAATTTGATTAGTGATGAAACCTCAGTATTCTGGGAGAGTGACATATAACGGTCACGGGCTGGAGGAGTTTGTACCACAGAGGACATCAGCTTATATCAGCCAAGATGATATCCATATTGGAGAAATGACTGTGAGAGAAACACTTTCTTTCTCTGCCAGATGTCAAGGGGTTGGACAGAACTATGGTTAGTTGAATCACTTGGAACATGACAAACGTTGAACTAGATTAAAACAGACCTAAACAGCTCTTAATCATAGTTTTCTTAATCACAACCCTACAGAGATGCTAGCAGAGCTCCTTAGAAGAGAGAAGGAAGCAAAGATCAAACCTGACCCTGATATCGATGCCTACATGAAGGTGAGAAAAAGATTTTTTGAGAGAGAGAGAGAGATTTCGTGCTGATTTCCTTCATATTTGGTGCCTCTAAACTCTGCAGGCGGCAGCATTAGAAGGGCAGGAAACAAGTGTGGTCACTGATTACATTCTGAAGGTACTCATCAAGTCCACAAGTCATAGCAGATAAAGGAAAGTTCTGAAAATAAAGGTTTTTATGTTTTGCCCTCTAAAATAATGCAGATTTTGGGACTTGAATTATGTGCTGATATTATGGTAGGAGATGGAATGATAAGAGGTATCTCAGGTGGACAGAAAAAGCGAGTTACAACAGGTAGATCGATGACTATTTTAAAATCTGAATTAGGGTTTTTCCACCAGGTTGATTCATGAAAAAAATTGTGGTGAATGATGCTTAGGGGAGATGCTGGTAGGACCTGTAAGAGTGTTATTCATGGATGAGATATCAACTGGTTTGGACAGCTCAACAACTTTTCAAATTATCAACTCAATCCGGCAATCAATCCACATTCTCAATGGAACCGCACTTGTTTCTCTCCTACAGCCAGCACCAGAGACTTATGAGCTATTTGACGATATAATACTTCTCACGGATGGGCAAATTGTGTACCATGGTCCCAGAGAGAAAGTACTTGACTTCTTTGAATCTATGGGTTTCAAATGTCCTGAAAGAAAAGGAGTTGCTGATTTCTTACAAGAAGTATGACTGTGAATCGCATAGTCTTCCTTCTTGACATTTACAACCTTTACACTTCTTGTTTTTCTTTTTTATTTTTTTAATAATTTAAAGCGTTTCATTATTGTGGGGTGAACCAGGTGACATCAAGGAAAGATCAGTGGCAGTACTGGGCACGTAAAGATGAACCTTACAGTTTCGTTACTGTCAAGGATTTTGTTGAAGCCTTCCAGTCATTTCACGTAGGCCATGCACTTGGAGAAGAACTAGCCAATCCTTTTGACAAGACCAAATGCCACCCGGCTTCCTTGAGCACAAAAAAATATGGTGTTGGCAAGAAGGAGCTGTTGAGAGCTTGTCTTAGCAGAGAATTTTTGCTCATGAAGAGAAATTCATTTGTCTACATATTCAAACTGACCTTAGTGAGTAAAACTAGAGCATTAATTACATCCTTACAATCCAATTAATTGAAACCTATAAAATAATTTAAACCTATAAACGCTATCATGCCCAGGACCCAAACATGTTAAGGGAAAAAGTACTTATATATGTGCTCTTCCTTCATTTCAGCTTAGCTACCTAGCGATCACGACATCAACGTTGTTTCTTCGAACTAAGATGCGTAAACAAACTGTTGCGGATGGAGGCACTTATATGGGTGCTCTGTTCTTCGCAATCATTGTAGCTATGTTCAATGGAATATCAGAGCTAAACATGACGATCATGAAACTTCCCGTCTTCTACAAGCAAAGAAACCTTCATTTCTATCCTTCGTGGGCCTACTCTCTACCACCATGGATCCTCAAAATACCATTCAGCCTGGTAGAAGTTGCCATTTGGGAAGCAATCAGTTATTATGTCATCGGCTTTGATCCAAATATTATAAGGTAAGAAGAAGATTTAAAAATATATATATATCCGAAACTGAATTTTTTATCATTGGTTTCTGAATCTAAAGAGAACTTTCACTGCCAGGTTTTTGAAACAGTTCCTGCTACTCTTGTGCCTTAACCAGATGGCATCTGCACTATTTCGATTGATAGCGGCATTAGGAAGGGATATAGTAGTTGCAAACACTGCTGGGTCGTTCGCTTTACTTGTCATCATGGTTTTGGGAGGATTTGTGATTTCACGAGGTAATACAATGGCAATGCAACTATAAAAAAATTTTATGACACCACGATTCATAAACCTATTCCTTTTGCATCAGAGGATGTGCACAAATGGTTCCTGTGGGGCTACTGGTCCTCGCCACTCATGTACGCGCAGAATGCTATTGCCGTCAATGAATTTCTCGGGCATAGTTGGAGAAAGGTTTTTTCTTTTTCCTGTTTAATTTTAATATACGTATACGTCTGTGTTTGTGTTTTTCCGTAGGTATATGTATACATGTACGCAAGTAGATATTTATAATACATGAATTCTTGGAAGAGGCATTAAGGATATAATTTGGTGAATGTATTTCTGTCGCAGGTTATAGATGATAGGAATGAAACATTGGGAGTTATGGTGCTGAAAGCTCGAGGTTTTTTCCCACAAGCTTACTGGTATTGGATTGGAACAGGAGCTTTGATTGGTTATGCCTTCCTATTCAACTTCCTCTACACGTTGGCTTTGCAATATCTCAGCCGTAAGTATCATCTTCAAGTTCTTTTGGAATGTGAACTTTGACTTTTATTCTAACAATTGCTTGTGTTGCTAATATAGCATTCAGAAAGGCTCAAGCAGGGCTATCCCAAGACAAATTGATGGAGAGAAATTCTTCCGGATATTCAGAACTAATTGAACAATCATCAAAAGGAAAGAGCTCTACTGGTGAGTCCTTGAGCTTTAGGTTAGGGCCTCTGTTTGTAGCCTGAAGTCTGATATGTGAAAGTCATAACGTGATGACTCATTAAATTCAGAACCAAATATTGAAGAAGCAAGCCGATCGAGAAGGTCATTTTCTAGTAGCATTAATGATAAAAGAGCTAGTAGAAGTGGAAAGCGGGGTATGGTTCTCCCCTTTCAACCTCTATCCCTCACTTTTGATGAGATCAGATATTCTGTGGACATGCCCCAGGTACCTTACTTACTTTCCGTCAATATTGTAACCCTGTTATTTACTGTATCTGAAGGCTTTTTTTTTTTTGGTGTGTTTTATTTCACGCTTTTTCCCAGCTTCATTTTTCCTTTAACTGCACTACACCTACTACTGGCAAGCTGAAGGCTTCCTTTTTCATGATCCTAATCATTAAAATATTCCTGACTTCGAAACAAAGATTAAATTAGAGTAAAAAATCAAGAAATTATAAACTCTCCAATCTTTTGACTCTAGTTATTCTGATCACAGGAAATGAAGAATCAAGGAGTTTTTGAGACTCGTCTTGAACTCCTGAAAGGTGTTAGTGGAGCTTTTCGGCCTGGAGTATTAACAGCTTTGATGGGTGTAAGTGGTGCTGGGAAGACTACTCTAATGGATGTTCTAGCCGGAAGAAAAACTGGTGGATATATTGAAGGAAACATCACAATATCTGGGTACCCAAAAAGACAAGAAACATTTGCTAGAATATCAGGATATTGTGAACAATTTGATATTCACTCACCTTATGTCACCGTGTATGAATCTTTACTATATTCTGCGTGGCTTCGATTAGCCCCTGATGTTGATTCTTCAACTAGAAAGGTAATTTGGGTGATTTAATGGTTTGAAGTGCAGTGTAAATATTCTCAAATTAGGTTCTAAATCAAAAGCGTTGAAATCTCATACCTATAACTCCTCCTTTTGAGATGCAGATGTTCATTGAGGAAGTTATGGAGCTTGTGGAGCTTACTTCATTAAGAGAAGCACTTGTTGGGTTGCCAGGCGAGACTGGACTTTCGACTGAACAGCGCAAGAGGCTTACAATTGCAGTTGAACTTGTAGCCAACCCTTCAATAATATTCATGGATGAGCCAACCTCTGGACTTGATGCCAGAGCGGCTGCAATTGTGATGAGAACTGTGAGGAACACTGTGGACACAGGACGTACAGTAGTTTGCACCATCCACCAACCAAGTATTGATATATTCGATGCCTTTGACGAGGTGAAAAATCCTTATCATTAACAAACAATTATGTTTTGGATACTCTATTACAAAACAATTTATATCTCCGTCTAACTTTTCAGCTACTACTTTTAAAAGTGGGAGGAGAGCAGATATATGCTGGTCCGTTAGGTCGCCATTGTTCCCAACTAATCCAATACTTTGAGGTGAGTCTTCTACAAGTAACATTAAACATATTAACTGCTAAAGGTTATTCAAGGCTATTATTATACTTTAGCATATTTATTTTAGTTTATGATTTCTGAAGGCCATTCACGGAATACCCACGATCAAAGATGGTTATAATCCTGCAACCTGGATGTTGGAGGTTACGTCAGCAGGAACAGAGGCAAATCTTCGGGTCAACTTCACAAATGTGTACAGAAACTCAGAACTGTACCGGTTAAACTCTCACCTGACACTATAATGATGTCTTAAATAATTTGAATATGTTACTAATACTTTCAAGTGCAGGAGAAACAAACAATTGATCCAAGAGCTTAGTAGACCTCGCCAAGATTCAAAAGACTTGTACTTTGCTAATAAGTATGCACAACCTTTTTCCCCGCAATTTATGGCTTGCCTGTGGAAACAGCATTTATCATATTGGCGAAACACATCATATACAGCAGTGAGACTCATGTTTACAACAATCATTGCTGTATTGTTTGGGATAATTTTCTGGGGCATTGGCTTGCAAAGGTATGTGAAAATGCAATAGAAGTACTAAAGCGCGAAAATAAAATGCAAAACTTGCAATCGAATACTTCAAACTAAATGAAAAATTACAGGAGAAAAGATCAAGACCTTTTCAATGCAATGGGGTCAATGTATGCTGCAGTTACCTTCATTGGAGTACAGAATGCTGCTTCAGTGCAACCTCTAATAGCTGTTGAGAGAACAGTCTTCTACAGAGAAAGAGCGGCTGGAATGTACTCCGCTTTGCCTTATGCTCTTGCACAGGTAAATTACTGTCTTCACCACTCACCAAGTAATAAATCTGAAACACGCAGCCATTTTGAGTTCAGCAATCATAATCCAAGGTAGATTTGCCACAGAAACTGCATTAATGACTTAACTATAGTTTCCTTCTTTTCTAACTTGACTAATACGTGCATGATGTGTGGTGACTGGTGAACCCAAATTCAGCTTTTCGCTTTTGCAGGTTATCATCGAGCTTCCCCACATCTTGATTCAGACTATGATATATGGGGTTATAGTATATGCCATGATGGGATTTGAGTGGAAAACATCCAAGTTCTTGTGGAACCTCTTCTTCATGTACTTCACCTTCTTATACTTTACATTCTATGGCATGATGACCATGGCCATCACTCCCAACCCCCACGTTGCGGGCGTACTGGCAAGCGCCTTCTATGCAATATGGAACCTATTCTCAGGCTTCGTCATTCCCCTATCAGTAAGTTCCCCTCGTATTCTATGCATTTCACAGAATGAGACTAACTTCTAAATGTTGTGTTGTTGTGTGGAACAGAGAATCCCCATATGGTGGAAGTGGTACTATTGGATTTGCCCAGTTGCGTGGACCTTATATGGATTGATTACTTCCCAATACGGAGATGAAAAGGATAAACTAGAGAGCGGCCAAACAGTAGAAGAATTTGTGAGGAGTTACTTCGGGTTTAAACATGAATTCTTGGGAGTCGTTGCAGTTGTGGTGGCTGGTTTCTCAGTCTTCTTCGCACTCACTTTCGTCTTCGGCATCAAAGCATTGAACTTCCAAAGAAGGTGATAAAAATAGTCAAACTATGGTTCACATTTGTCCCTCGAAGCTGATATGGTCCAAAACGCCAATCAATGCCCGTGAAGGTAGTCATTTCGCATCGGAAATCCCTCCCTTATTCAAGTCTAAATCGCTATTGAGCATGGAAGATTTAATTTAACGGCGTTTGCACTTCCGCGAGTGGATAAGATCCTGATCTCAACATCTGAAAGGAATCATTTGATTTTTAATTCATCGCTAAAGTGCATGTTCGACAGAAGCTTGAATTGACAAATAGAATCATCCAAAATTCCTGAGCTTTAGTATCCATATTTTCAGTTTCAAAAGAAACAGAATCATTTATCTGACGCAGTAATCGGCTTTGGAAAGACTGAAAGATTCCGTTTTAAAAAGAAAATTGACGATGGATCATTGTTACTGCCTCCGTCTTTAATATCTTTAATATTTTTCATTTTTTATTTTAGTTTTAAATATAAAACTCTAATTTATTTTATTTTTTATATTTAATTATTTTTTTAAAAAAATTTGTAATAATAGTAGTTCTAGTCACTACATTTGATTAGTAAGGATATTTTAGAAAAGATAACACCTATTTATTATAAATAACTAACTTAACTAATTTTTTTAATTATACTAAAAACTGGAGGTAGTATTTTGTAGTGATCATCAATATAAAAATTAGCTAGGGAAGTTAAATTTAGGGGGTGTTTGGATAGAAACCAGACCATGGTTTCAAAAGTGATTTTACGATATACATTGCAAATATAAAATTTTGGTGAAATATCTGAAATGCCTTCAGTCAAATTATGATTTGGTTTACTGAAGTTATCATTTGCTAAAATGAACTTGTCATTTTCCATTGTCAGTTGGCACACCCTCAACCAAATTGTAATTTGGTTTATTGAAGTTATCATTCGCTAAAGTGAATTTGTCATTTCTCATAGTCAACTTGTCATTTGGCTAGGGGACATTTCAAACATTTCACCAAGATTTTATATCTGCAATATGAGACAGGACCTTTATTTGCTATTTTTCAAATTAAGAATCCCAAATCGTAATTTCACATATTTGGGGTTTTTATTTAAAATTTTCACATATTTTTATTAATTATAAAAAAAATTTAACCAAAAGATATTCTCATGCATGATTAAATAATATAGTTTAGGAAGGCTAGCTGTAATTATGGTAAATAACCAACTTAATTAATTTTCTTAATATAAAGACTAAAGTTAATATTCTATAAATTAATTATTTAATTTTTATATTAAGGAATAGAGTTAATATTCTATAAGAATGTATTTTAATTCTTTCAACAAATTTGTTTCGAGATATTATTCATGATCGGTAAAAATATGTCCCCTGTGCCTTACCAAAATATTTAATTACTACTCCTCCAGTTTTTAATATAGGACCTAATTCTTAAGTTGGTTTTGATCCTAAATATAAGACTCATTTCTTATATTTTTTAATTTTCTCTAAATTACTCCTATGGATACTCCCCCAACCATAATCAAGTAGAATAGGAAGAGAGGGTATTAAGAAAGATGATTATGGTGTTTTAGGAAAAATGTGTCACTTTTCGCATAATTAACTAATTTACCTAACTTCTTTAATCTAATCAAATTAGTTAAATGGGTCTTATATTAAGGACCGGAGGAGTATTGTTTTTGCAAAAATGTTCAATTATTGTACAAAATGATAAAACAGTTTTTATATAATTACTAAATGAATATTTTAAATAATTTTTAAGTATCTGAAAAATATTTAAAATTACATGTTACCTTCTAAATAACATGATATATATTAAAAATATATAAAAATTTTGAAATGACAAAAGTCATTTACGTTTGACGGTAATTTTAATTACAGAAAATTTGAAAACTTATTCAAAATAGTTCAGGGAATTTTACATATTTTAGCTTAGATAAGAATAACTTTCCCGATACAATATTTTAGCTTTCTCAAAAAGACTCGATGAAGTCCTCTCTGTTTTTAATTTCTAAATGAAGCAAACATTGCATCCATTGTTTTTCAACCCCAACGTTAAACGGCTACTATAAATAATTATAAGCGCCAGTCAAAGCGGACAACAAATCCCATAACGAAAGCACATACATGCATTGCCCATATTCAAATCAGTAAGGAATCATAGCACTAGGGATTTTGTTGGCACATGTTATTCTCGACAGGCCTTTGGAGACGAGGCAAAAAAAAAAAAGTACCCAATGCCAAAAATTTCACTGTCAAACACCAAAATAACAAGACTAAATAAATGTGGACTGGATGCCGCCTATGTTACAGTTAAGGTTCTCTCGGTCTAATCCTACAGATGAATCTTATGAGGTACAAAGGAAATCCAAGGAAGAAGAAAGGACTTGCACCAAATCAGTTACCAAAACTATCCAGGAGGCTTTGCAACTCTCTCAAGCCTTCAGCAGAGAAGCTCCTCTGCACTCTGGAGCGCGGTGCCACCAAGTTAGCTGGAGGCTGCTGCTGAAAGCAAACCACAACCACTGCTAGATTGTCCCCACTCTTTCTCTTCAAAGCCTCATCAACCAAATCCTTACTACACCTGGCTGGATCATTATGCTCCTGAAGCCTTCGCCTGGCAAAATCCACAGCATTTTGGCTCCTGAAAACATCCCAAATCCCATCACAGCCCATGATGAGAAATTCATCCTCTTCAGTCAGATTTGTGGTCATTAGTTCAGGCTCTGCACTGAGAGGTCCGCCATCACTGACTTTCATTCCTTTTATGTGCCAATCACCCAGAGCGCGTGCCACATTGAGCTGTCCGTTGAGATACCCATCATACACATAACCCCCCGATGCCTTGATGCGCTTCAACTCTTTGCTATGTGTCGGTTTGTGATCCCTTGACATTTCAATAGCTTTTCCACGGCGACACAGCACTGCTCGACAATCTCCCGCATTTGCCACCAACAGCAACCTGCAATCAGAAACTACAATCAACATGCGACATATCAAAGGCATGAGGCTGGCGATGAGTCATACTGTCACTTCATTTTTATTTGGGGAAGTGTAGAAAATTTACAATACCCAACCAATTGAGTGGTAGATCAAAATGTCCCTGAACCCCCACATTAGTCGAGAGTCCAAAGGAATTTAGACTCGTGATAAAGAGAATACTAGTAAATTTGTTTGAGATATTTAATACTTCAAACAACGAAGACTAAACCCATAAAAAGATTAGAAGTTCAGTCATTCAGCCTTCATAATAAAATTGTCTGATTCCGTATGAGGGACTAATATGGTTGCATTTACAAAATAACTTCCAAGCTGGACTTGCCTTTTCTTTCTTAAAATCAAGCTTCACAAACATCAAGAGAAGGTGAAATAGATTGCAATTGCTTTTCCAGAAGCCATATGGTTTGACCCAATTTACTTTTAAAAGAAAAACACTTAGAATCTGTGCATCATGCTACTCATCTCATGTCCAATCAGATAACTAGCTCAAAGGAAACGAAATAAAATATTGTTAGCAATGTTTCAAAAACGATAATGAACATCAAAACCTTAACCTTCCAATGACAAGAGCAGCCAGAGCAGTGGTGCCAGAGGCAAGGTCAGCATCAAGAGAGCAGGCCTCAGCAAAGGCATTGTCTGTCTGCAAAAATGCTGACGCAACAATCCTTTCAATATCACTTGGAAAGCTTTCATCCTCACCAATGAACTTCGGCAAATGATGACAAGCAAAGTCAGCAGCATGCTTGCCACCATGTCCATCGAATACCTGATCAACCCATATAGAATATTTGATTATTTTTTGCTAACAAATGCCAGGACAAACGTGACTTTTAATACTTGTCAAAAGTTAAATTGTAGAGACCAGCGATAGTGTGTATAAATGTGTAGTCATAAACTGTTCCATATGAAAAGCAAATAATAACCCTGGTGAAGACGACTTAAACTACAATTTCCCAAGAAATTCCGAAAGTAACTCAGAATGAGTGGGATACGAGTAGAAAAGAAACTAACAGGGATATTAGGATGACAGGAAAAACATGCAAGTCAAATTATTAAGCTACAAAGATTGGAATGTGACACACAGGAAAAAACATTGCAATTCATAAAAACCACAGGCAATATAATCACTGCCATGAGCTAGTTATTTAATGTGCCAATAATAGAAAAATACCCCATAAAATGCACTGGGTCCATCTATGCGGTTATTGGGTCCATAATTCGGCAAAAAGTTGTCCACGCACAAATACACGTCTTCCATGCTTGAACGGAACCCAATATCACCACATCCTCCAGAACGAAGGTTTGGTAGGAACTCAGACTTGCAATCTTCAATAACAGGTTCTGGCTCAGCAGATACTTCAGACACCTTTGTCTTCATCTGCTCAATTTCCCATAAAATTTCAGGAACAACAAAGGACACGCATCCAATTATTGGAAAAGTGAAAGAGAGACGGCCACCAGAAATAATGTTAGTAGTATCACTCATTTTATCAATGATATTGTTAAGAAGCCCAGGCAACAAAGTAAATTTTCAGTTGGCCACCAAAATTCCCGTCCCACTCAACAAATGTTAAGCAAGCAATTAGATCCCGAAACCATTGAGGGAGGGGGGATGAGATTACGCTCAGCTTTATTTTACTTCTTCCGCATTACGCTATTCTCTATCCCACCATCATTCTTTACAGATTCCATTAAATTTATTTTAGTCCAACACTTCGAAATTCGAATCAAATGATGAGCTGAGAAATAATTAGAGAAGACCAACTTATTCCCCCCCCCCCCCCCAAAAAAAACACGCTACTACATCATCAACACCATTGGCACAGTAAACGTGGGTAGGACCCATTTCTCAGGAGCAATGAAGACAAGTTTGTTGCTGAAACTTACAAGAGAAGGATGCCGAACAAGGGACCTCCTACTTGGTGCCGCCCCACGGTCGGTATTGGGGCATTGTCGGTATTCAGCAGCGAACGGATTCGGAGGACGACTCTCGCCGGAACTCCTGAGTTCACTACTTTTATGCTGTTCATTCTCCTCCATTGTTGTCAACCATAAGATCCCCGCACCACAAACCACCAAATCTCACCTTTCAATGCTAGGAACAGAGATTCCAACAATTCATCGATCCAATGACTGACTTTCTAGGTTGACTCAGTTGCGAATCGAACGCAGGTATGCCCACTTAAAGGCGAACTACGGAGCAGTTGCACAGCCAAAAACCGACGTGCAAAAAGCGAAAATTTAGGGTTTTTTATATGAAAATGGGGTAGCGGGATAAGAAGCCGAAACTATATGTTGGCAGCGGAGATTTCCGGGAGAGAAGTGGCCCAACAAAGTTGCTTTCAGAATGCGGCGAGGTAGCAAGAATCAGGGCTTGGATACGACAGGCGAAGAAATCGTTGCGACTGGGCGGTGAGCTACCACCGAGAGGTGGAAAGAATATAGGCGATTCGCAAGGAGAGTCGGTAGGGTTACACGTGACGGAAAATTCATAACGACGTCGTGGTCAGTGCAACGGAACACCTTTCGCCAGCTCTTTTCTGCTATAAAAGCTAAGGTTAGATATTGCAACACGTTGGCCAAAAGAACACAACAAAAAATGTTGCAGTACTAAAAAAAACTTGCCTTATATTTTCAGATATCATTATTATATTATATCAAGTAAAGAAACAGTACAAATAAAGTCAAAACTCATCCTCACGTGTTCTATTCTTTTTAGTTATCCTCACATGTTTTATTTTATTTTGTTAACTACTACTTATTCTAAATATAAGAGCTAATTAGAATCTTAAATATAAGATTTCAGTCAATTTCATCTCCTCAATTTATAATGCGTCTTAAAAATATCCTATTAATTGTGAAGTATCTTCACCTCAATATAATTTCAATGTATATAATTAAATATGAGTAATTGAGAAAAATCAACACACATGTATGATTTGTTACAAATAATTAGCTTAATAATTATTCAAATTAGTTATCTAATTTTTACATTAAATAACTTTTATCTTTTTATTAAGGACATACAGTGGCACTCCAATCAAGACCTGAAACTTTGTCAACACACCTTGCCCGATTTTCGTCCCATCAGATTTTAATAATTGAGTGTTGATGTGTTTTATGTTACTTTCCCTTGGATTCACCGGCCAGTTTTGTGATGTTTCCTGTCTAATTATGTTTTCTAATCGTACTTATAAATTAATTTTATATTTGTTCCGTATGTCAGTTATTGGATTCAGTGATTTTGGAATTCATTTTGCGAACTTCGGAAAAGGTTTGTCATACATATTGATTTCTTTCTTTCTTTTTTTTGGCCGGCATGTTGATTTCTCATATTGGTTCAACTTATCATCTGATTAATGTTATTTAAGGGAAAGATTATTAAATGAGCTGGATCAGGCTGTGAGGTTCAAATCACACTTACTCAGGAAATTTATGAGCTTGCAATTAATTCACAAAAGCAGCCCGATTCATTACCAGCTGGGAAGGTTGGTTAAGTTTTCCATTTGTGGCGGTGAGTGGGTGTCGACGAGGGACAGTACGCTCCACGAATCCTGGAGTAAACAGTGCCAGTTAATTACATAACCTCGCGACGAAAAGGTGAAGGACAACTTATCTTTTTTTTTTTGGGGGGTACAAAAAGGACAACTAATCTAAGTTGCCACTAGGCTTTACTATTCCACTCATGACGGGCCCGTTTATTTTTTATTGAATACTACTCCTGTAATTGAACCCAAAAAAAAGCCCAATAGGACACGTCCCATACGTCATAACGATGAGTAGAGGCACAACACACATGGACATAATTTAATGTAATTTATTCTAATGATATTACTAGCTTCTGGTTTAAAGAAAACTAGTTGGCTAATTTGAATAGATTAAAAAAAATAGTTAAGTTAGTTGTTTGTAATAAATAGACATTGTCTTTTCTAAAATTTTATTACTAATCAAATGTATTGGTTAGAACTATTATTACTATAAGGACTGTCTTGAAAAAATATATATAAATACGAGAGACAATATAAATTAAAGTCTTGTATTTAGGACTAAAATAAAAGTCAAAGAAACTCTTATACCAAGAAGAGCGGAGTAGTATATCATAATTAATAAAATAAAATAAAAAAACCAATCAAATCGATCCGCAGTCCGAATTTTCTTCGTCCTCCCTGAAGAAAAGGAGGAAAAGAAGAAGAAGAAGAAGTAGAGATATTTTGTGGTGGAAATATGGAACTTTTCTGGTGGCGTTTGGACGGAGGCGGTAGATGGAGACTGGATTCGCGACCTGTTCTAATAATGTGAATTAATGTTTAAAGGGTACACGTCTCATTGCCCTAATTGCTGCATAGACGGCAAGCAAACTTCAATCCTCCCTAACTTCTACATATATTTCTCTCTCCCTTTTTGCTTATTCCATTTTCTTCCCCTGTCACTTTATTGCATTTTACATTACACAACCTGAATTAAGAATCTTTCTTTGAGTCTTGCATCATGAGAACCACTTGCTGCCTTAATCTCCCTCCTCCTCCAACTTCAAACCCATCTCTCAACACTTGTATCCCCGTTAAGCCACCCCCTCAGCTTCCTCTGTATGTCTTCCCTTTTTTTTCCTCCTTCTCTTTGCAATTCCTACTTGTCTTTTATTTATGTTTCTTAACGACTACGTCTTGGAAATGAAGGGTCAAAGATGAAGGGAGCTGGAGAAGCCAATGCATTATGATGAAAATGGCTTGCACTCTCATCGGACTTCAACTCGGAAATTCGGTGACTGCCCCTGAAACGGAGTTTGCCCTTGCTCTGCATCTGCCAGTTCCCGCCGCCGCCGCCGCCAAGTGGAGCGAGAAGAGGGCCTGCCCCTCCTGGCGTCACAACTCCTGGGAAACCGTCGTGCCGGAGAATCTCCCAAGGCCTGCCGCTCGCCGGAGGTATGAGTCTGTCCGATCCACCAGCTCCAAGATTGCTCCGCCCCTTTCTGCCTCCGCTCAGATCAAGACCGGATGCTTCTCCCTGTAACAATCAACGCGCTATGTAAATGCAGAGGTCATGTTCACTTGTACATACCATATCATCAATCAAAAATATTCTTACCATTATGGATACAGACTTCATGATCAAATAAGATATTATTCTTATTCAAATTTCCCAATCTCTTCTTCTTCTTCTTCTTTTTTTAATAATAAAATCCCGACATTTTCGGGGTAAAATGATCGCACGCACCACTGCAGTACTGAATTGGAATTACGTTAGTTGGTGATGGTAGTAGTACATTGTAGTACAAACTGATATTTTAGACGCCGCGTTTTATGATCACACAGCTCTTTCTAACTGTCTTATGGGCTCTGTGGTTATGATTGGAGAGAGGACTGCGGCCCCAATATATTTCAAATGGGCTTACTGAAGACAGGCCCAATTACCCGTCGCCTCCCAGATTAAACTAATGAAGCCCAAAATTTAAGCGCAGGAGTCCTACTCTCCAACCGAACAGTACGCTGGATTTGGGTCGCATATTTTTGGGTGTGATATTATTATAACATTTAAGTGGCTGATTTAAATATGTTTAATAGATGTTAGCAAGTAATTTGTAAATATTTTCGAGACAAAAAATATGCTTCGTCAGCCTCAGAGAGTAATTTTTTTCGTGCGGTACGTATGGCAGTGGGTGGATAATTTCCACCAAAGTTTGCTCCATACACAGTAATTGAAAGCTAAATTTCTGGTCACTTACCTAAGAATGGGAGACAAGAGGCTGTAATATTGTTTCTAATATGAACCTTGAACTCCAACATGTTCCTCTAAATCATTCATTTAGGAAAGGAAATCCTATGATGCTGTACAAAAGCGGTTTATTAATGTTGTGGCTGTTGTTAGTGGGAGATGCAGTTAGCGTTGAAAAAAATCATGAGAAGGTGGCACAGGTGACTGTTATAAATTGCAGGGGGGAGGCAGAGTGTTAGTTGGAGGGGCGTCCCTAGTGTAGCCTTGCAGGTAGGGACGTGGCTTGTTTATAGAGATTAACCAGCAGCAGGCAATCATCTTTTCTTTTCATTTAGGTTTCCCAGGGACAACAACTGGTAGAGAATTAGACATGAATCTAGGAATAGCTCCCAGCTTTCGCTGGTTTCTTCTTGTGGTGGAGAGGAAGTTTGAAGCAGAGATTATGAGTGGAACAATGGATGTTGGGGTTGAAGCTTGAAGCCATAATGCCAGACACACACAGAAACTAAATCTTAGTACGTATGCATGTATGAAGCGAGATTGGCAAAAATGTGGTACGCTCCTTAACCGTAGAAACACTGGGCTTTGCTACTCAATTGAAGATCTTGTGCCAGCAGGCGAGCCAGCCCTACTGCCCCATGGATTCCACCCAAGCAGCACCCCAACACCAAGCGCCACTACCGAATATCTAAGCCGTGATTCTATTATCTCTCATTTTTAATATAAAACTAGTTGATTAATTTTAATAAATTAAAAAGATTAGTTAAAATTAATTAATTGTAATAAATAAGTATTATCTTTTTCAAATATCCTTGTTGATGAAGTATATTAATTAAAACTACTATTATTATAAGGATTACTTTAAAAATAATAATAAATATAAAAAAATTAAAATTTTATATTTAGAATTAAAATAAAAATCAAATAAATTCTTATATTAATAATAATAGCCGGTATTATTAACGGAAATCTGGATGTGGGGAAATTAAACGGCACTCTCTCCCGCTGTCAAGTTCCTTTTGGTCTTTCTCCCTGGGACCCACCCCACTGCTTTTTCCACGCGCCCACAGATCCCTCCCCTGTTGCTGAGTCCGTGCCACGTGACTTGCAGGTGTGACGCTCAGCTGACATCATCCCATCACCTCCGCACCCCAGTCCCATCCCACCTTCCTTTGAACCATTTACGTTTGACATTTAATAAAACTGACTTCACCGACACGACCAAAAGGACTCGTTTCTCGCAACATCTCTTCTTCCCCCTCTTTTTCCATGCACTGCATGGGCCATGGAGGATCTATGCAACACAAAGACGGCAATGTGTTGTTCCTTCAAACCAACGGATGGCTTGTTGATGGCTGAGACAGTAAAACTTGACAGGAAAAGGTTGTATATGTTGTGTCACCGTCGTATTCTCCCTGGTAAAAATCATATTTCCTTCTGTTTTTAAATACAATACTCATTTTATAATGTAAAATAAGTTTTACATTGGAAGAATGACAAAAAAAAACTGAAAATTACAAATCCCAAATCAGACTTGGTAATTCAACTTTATTTAGTATCGAACAAGTTTAAATTTGCAAATAATAACAATTTTTTATTAACAATTTTTTATTTTATATTTACAAAATTTTAGTTTTTTTTTTTGTTATTGTCCTTTTTGCATTTAATATTGGAGGATGAGTAGTATTACATGGTACTTCTTTTTTTTTTTGGACTCAGTATTACATGGTACTTCATTAACCAGAAAAAAGCAGACACAGGCAATTAGGTGTTCAAATGTACCCAGGAGGCGTACGTGTATAGTACGTCCGCCTCAGAGGTCTCACTAGTTTCCCATTGAATCTTAATTTATAAATTTGATATTATGTGTGGATATATATAAATGTCTTGTATGTTCTAATGCTTAATATAAATATATATATTTACATATATATATATCATTGCAAGGTTCGAATAACATATCAACCAGGGATCCATTATATCACATCACCAGGTTGTGTGTATGGGTAAGAAAAGTGAGCACGCGTGTTTGGAACAGGTGTTCATATTTAATATTTAGCAGCGCTTCGTGCCCCTGTAAGAGAATATTTGTGTTCTTCACCAAGAGAGAGAGAGAGAGAGAGAGTATTTGTGTTTATAAAAAAAAAAAAATGCTTTCTTTTCCTCTCCATTTATGTTAATTAGATTTTAATGGCGAAAGTGAATCCAATGCCCTGTTGCTGTGGATCCTAGCATCCATTCACTGTCATATTAATATTTGCTGAAATTAAAAAAAAAAAGACAAATTAGTTTATTATAATAAATAAATACGATATAATCCTTCTAAAACAACCATATACATATTACATTAGATTACATATTATTTTATAAGTTAAGTAAATTAAGTTGAAAACAAAATGATAAATATATGAGAGGCAAAATGTGAACTGACATTTTATATTTAATATCAAAACTAATCACTCATCTAGGATTCAATAAACACATTGTATGTATAGATTGGCTGTTCTATTTTATTAACACCCCCTCCCCACATCAATATATTTTCTAATAAATAATCTACGTGTCTCTTTGTTCTTCTATTTTCAATTCTCAACTAAATTTCATATAAAGATTCATATCATTATTTAAAATCTGAAAACAAATAGAACAAGTGAGCGGCTTGGAATTAGATTGGTATTCTCTAATATCAAGACATGGAGGTTGGCCCCAAAAAAAAAAAAATATGGAGGCATCCTGCCGATAATGCGAGGACTCTCTAGAGTTGTATTTTTCCGGTAATTATTAAATTAATATTACACTCTAGACACATATGTATGATGCATCTCTTAATTATATATATAATAAGTGGACGCCAGTGAACATTACAAATCAAAAGGACCTCCTCCTAGAAAGAAGCACGTGTGCCCAATGGTTTCAGAATGCTAAGGGATCGTTTGAAGCTTTGTACCCTTCCCAATTATGTAAATACGGGCGAATCGAATCCTGGGTTTGAAAAGCAATAATGGACGGATAATGACGTGTTCCTATTATTCTTCGTTTTGTCATTTCTTGCCAACTCCGATGGTATTATTCTTCGTTAATTAACAATGCAATCCCCAAAACCGACATATATGTGTATAGGATGCCACGTGCTATCGAATTAGCGTAATAAACAAACGTTGTTCCCGTCTTTCTAACCCTGATGATCCGCGTCACCGAGGCAGTTCCAATTCTGTGTTTTACAATACAACAAAACTCGCAACCTCATCATCCAAATATATTGTTTATTTAATAACCTATTTGTGCATGGGGTTCTGGTGGTTTTTACGGGGGGAAAAAATTAAACTAACGAACTAAAACAAATGATTGAAAGTCACGTTGAAACTGATCTAGTTCGTCGTGTCGCGCTGGAATGAATTGTTGCCATTTTTCCTCTTTGATTTAGGCCGTGGTTTGGATTAATTCCGAGCACGTCCGTAATCTAATATATATATATATATATATAAATATAATTTCAGTCCTCGTGTTTTCTGGCAAAGAAACACATTATTTATCACGTTATTTGTTTATATTTCCGTGTGTTTTATGGATCTTATTAGATGGATAAACTGTAAAGTTTGAAATAAACCTTATTATTATTATTATTATTATTATTATTCATGTAATCACTATATATTTTTTTAAAAAAATTGATATTATATATAAAATATTATATCATTTTTTGTTACACTAAAATATAATATAGATAGAGGACACATTACATTCGTACATTCTCGACCATGGCCAATAATATGGTTAGAAACAATAAGAGAGAAGTCGTATATGGATGAAAAAGCCAACGCAACAGACGTTTGATCGTCACATGCAGCATAATGTCACTCCTCGTCAATGAGATATATGTTATATTCTTGTATGTTATTGGGTAAATATTAACTCATCTCCGCTGGCATACGCCAATTCGCGTCCTTAAAGTGCTAGTATAATATAACAAACAACAAACTGGGGAGAATGGATTATTCTCAAATGCTACATCCGATTCTTGATATAAAAACTTATTTGATATTTAATTTGGTCTCAAATATAAGACTTTAATCCACCTTGTTTCTTATATTTATCAGTTTTCTTAAAGTAGTGTTGGTAGTAGTTGTACATATTAAATGTTTCATCAAATATTAATTCTAACTAATAAATATAATTTTTAATGGTATTTTAAGAAAGCCAACAATTATTTACTGCAAATAACTAATTTAACTAATCTTTTTAATCTGCTCAAATTATTCAACTAATTCTTATATACCAGAGTTAGTACTATAAGAATATATCACAAAAATCTTGAATATTTAATGTGGTATTTATAAAGTGCCTATCATAAAACCATGAGCAAGATTTTCCATAACAATATTTCTTGGCACGTTCATTAGCTTATTTGAACAGGTAAATTCATTATGCTTATCGTCCAGTCTCACAAAGAGGAACATTGTGATGTTATACCGTCAATATAGTAGTTTTTCCTAATGGCACTGTGTTTTGTCTCGTCAGATGTTAATTCCCTGGATAATTGAGGAATTAAGTGGTTATCTTCAGGTACTTTCTCTCGAGTTTTCTCTGGGTGACGCGTTGAAAGTACCAAAAACTACCTTTTCCCTACTTAGCCTTATATCATGTAACATATTTTTCTTTTGAGACGTTAGCTTGAAAACTATACTTCACGTCCTTTTAACGTGGAAAAAGATGAAACACATAGGGGGGGGGGGGAAACCACCTCAGAGACTCACTCCAACCCACAACATGCAACAACTTTGAGATTAAATATTTGATCTATAATATAAGTCAGTTATAATTAGCATTTTCTAATTTTACCTCTATACCAAGAAAAATGAGAGAGAGAGAGGACAGATTTGTATGGGTTAAAGTTAAACAGTATTTTTAGAGTAATACAGATTCAATGAGCTGACTTTTTGTTGTTGATAAAGATGGTTGAGAGTGACTTTTATACGTGTGTGTATTGAACTGGACAGAGTACATACAAGGGACACTAATATTATCTCACAAAAACTAATAGAGTTACCAGGGCCAATTGAATTTGTAGCAAAGCATTATTTTCTTAAAATTTGCTATCGGCTAATAGTTGACATTTCTTGTTTTGAACTCAAACCTTTATTCTTATACCTGATTTATTAAGGGGCATTTGGAAAAAAAATTAATATTCAGGAAGTGTCTTGTATTTTGAACCACACAGATATTTCATATTTGCACAGCTATATTATGTTAAAAGTAGTATGTAGGACTTGTCGCCCCCTCCCAAAAGAAAAAAAAACCTTAAACATTGAACCGTAAAAAATACTACTTCGATCCTGTTAATCACTTTCAAAATTCAAAATTTACCCAAACCAAGGAAAATTTAAAACACATGGATCCTATTTAAAAATTTAATATTTTTTAATTTTACTCATGAAGTATAGGTATTTTAAAAATTAAATGAAATATATACTTCAGCATTTAATGAGGGGTAAACAGAAAACTAAAGGTGGGGAATCAATGACAACGCCACATAATAAGGATGGAGTTTCTCTTCCCATTTTAATTTTATCTTATCCTTCTCCTTTATAAATAGAACCAAAGCGGGATTATAATATTAGAATCAGTTTCAGCATTTTATCACTGCAATAAATGTCGCTATGTTCATCACTATGATAAGATATGCACTGTTTAAATATAATTTTAACAGTTTAAATTGAAACTTTTCAAATGATGATTTTTAAATAAAAATTATTTTTGAGAAGTCGATAGTATGAGATTATTTTATTTCTAATTATTTATATATTAAAATAATTAATTTTTAAGAATAAAAAAAAACCCAATCAACTTTCCAAACTTGACATATAGTAAGAGGAGCTTCCAACCATCTCATGTTTTTTCATGGGGTAACATTCTGAAATGATGATGTAATTAACTTCATAGGTGAACATTATTCCCAAAAACTAAGGTCGAAATGTGCAAATGTTTGAGGAGCATGAAAACTGGAAGTGGGAGGGAGAGTTGTTGCCAAAAAGTGAAAATAAATGAGAGAGAGAGGGCATGCCATGCATACATGTATTTATAGCAGGCCCCTCCCACTTGCCCCTCCAAGTTCTGCCCGCACTGCGAGAGCGAGGTTCAGAAGAAATAGCCTTGAGAAACATAACCAAATCCTTTGCTTTACCTTCACGCCTCTCTTACCTCTCTCTCTTGCTCTCTTTGGTCCTTCCACTTCCCTCCCTCCCTCTCCTCTCCTCTCTCTTCTTCCTCTGCATTTAAAACCCCACTCCTTCGCTTCTCAATTCTCCGTTTCCCATGATGTCAATAATGTCTTCTTGAGCGAAGCAGAAACAGGGCAAGCAGCGAAGGGAAATAGAAAAGAAAAACAGACCTCTCTGTATTATTGCTGCTGCTTTTGATAAATTCTTGTACTTTCTTTCTTGCTTTCTCGGGAATTCTCTCACATGGGTTCTCTCAAAGATCAAGAACAAGAACAAGCTAAATGTGCTTGGGTTCAGGGGCCTATCATTGTAGGCGCCGGCCCCTCCGGTTTGGCAGTCGCGGCTTGCCTCTCTCAACATGGCGTGCCTTCTGTTATTCTTGAGAAGAGTGACTGTATAGCTTCTCTTTGGAAACACAGAACCTATGACTGTCTCAAACTTCATCTTCCCAAACACTTTTGTGAGCTTCCCTTGATGGGTTTCCCTCCCAATTTCCCCAAGTACCCCACGAAATACCAGTTTGTATCGTACCTCGAGTCGTATGCTTCGCACTTCTCAATTCAACCCCGGTTCAATCAAACCGTCACGAGCGCAGAGTTCGACCAAAGTTGCGGCTTTTGGACGGTTCGAACCCAAGATTTTGAATACATTTCCCGGTGGCTGGTAGTGGCCACCGGAGAAAATGCGGAGCCCGTGATTCCTAAAATTTCTGGAATGGAGTCGTTTCATGGACCCATTGTTCATGCCAGTCTCTTCAAGTCTGGTTCTGATTACAAGAACCAGAGAGTTTTGATCATTGGGTGTGGCAATTCGGGCATGGAAGCAAGCTTGGATCTTTGCAGGCACAATGCATTCCCTTTTATGGTCGCTAGGAACACTGTGAGTATTGGTTATTGAAGTCGGTGGTATTTCCCTTGCAAGTAAGCGAATGCCAAATTTAGAATTGTGTCCTGTTTGGCTCACTTTTGCACTATTTTATGATATACAGATACATGTTCTGCCTAGGGAGATGTTAGGCTTCTCAACATTTGGAATAGCCACGACCCTCCTCAAATGGTTTCCTTTAAGATTAGTAGACAAGTTCCTCCTGGCGCTGACCAGTTTCATCTTGGGAAACACCGATCGCTATGGCCTCCGGCGACCCAAAACAGGACCCATTGAGCTCAAAAATGCCACCGGAAAAACCCCTGTTCTAGATGTCGGAGCACTATCACAGATAAAATCCGGGAAAATTAAGGTAAATTCAATCGAGCAATGGTCGCATGCTCACACAAGCAGATGGACCTTAAACATATGTCCAGGATTCCTCTAAAATCCTTAATCATTCACTTTCAGGTGATGCAAGGAGTGAAGGAGATAACGAGAAATAGTGTCAAGTTCGTGGATGGTCAGGAGAGAGAGTTCGATGCTATAATCTTAGCAACGGGCTACAAAAGCAACGTGCCTACTTGGCTCAAGGTAAAACCACGAATCCATCTATTTTGTTTGCCTTGTTATTTACCTCTGTTTTTTTATGAAATGCCCAAAGACCTGTCGCTTTCCAGAGTTGGACACATGCAGCATACAGAGTGCAGAATTTTACAAATTTCTTCTTTCTCAGCATGCAAAAAAGAATATAATCAGTTCGGGCTTATGCACACTCCGATTTTCCAAATACAGATTTTGAAATTTCTGTTCTTTTTGTGTGACGTTTCACCAACGAAGGGTAACAATCATTAAAATATGAGACATGGCGATTTGCTGCTTGCAAAAGCTAGCCCAACGTGTGTCCTTTTTTCCCTCTTTCGCAGCCTCAAGAAGTTGTAGTCTTCTCTGCGGAAAGATCAGTCTTTTTTATCAAAAACTAATATCAGTGTCTTGAATTTCTTTTTTAATGATCGGTTTAAGCTCCATGGCAGGGCGTGGAGCTATTATGCTCTGAGAAATCTTTTCTGATTCTGCATGCTGTCAGTAAAAAACTAAAATCCAAAGTTGCGAACGTAAGCATCAACTGTATTGTACTGCATATATCATGTGTTCTATGTATACGTAACTCTCGTGTCTTCAGATTGAAAGAAGAATAATATCTTACGCAAAATCTCACGTTATTGTGAAATCGGTGAATGTTTGCTGCAGGGCTGTGATTTTTTCACCGAAGATGGAATGCCAAAAACGCCCTTTCCAGAGGGTTGGAAGGGAGAGAATGGATTGTATACGGTGGGGTTCACCAGAAGAGGTTTGCTCGGAACCGCTTCTGATTCCACCAAGATCGCCCAGGACATAGCTCATCGGTGGAGGACCGTCAAAGACAGCAAGAACTACCGTAATTCCCACATCGTCCTGCTCAGGAGCTCCTTATGCCCTTCCCGTCCCAATCAGCTTGTAAAATGCAAGAAAGATAATTAGTTTGAGAGATCAATACTGGGTCAGGGTCAGATTGGTAATTGTATTTCTCCCTTTAACCACCCCGACCCAGGTTTGTCACAGGCCCTCCGGTGTATGTACAATTTTGTAACATTGCGGTATACAGCTGCTAACCTCCCTCCCAAGTTTTACCGTCTCATCTATGTACAAAACATTTTTATAAATACAAGGAAGAATTATAATCAAATCTCGTATAAAAAAATAATTATTAAAAAGTCTAATAACAACTTGAACAGTTTATAATAATAAGTTTTAGAATATAGAATATCGATTTTTAAAACTTGTTTTATAATTTTTTTCTTTTCTTAAGGTCTTATTATAATTCGCCCATTGTTTATTTTATTAGCTATCTCTATATCATTCTCAATGTCTTTTGATCATATTCGCTTCTATTTGATTTGCTTTTCAAACGAAAAATCATGAACTCGCATTAAAGTTCTGCAGAAAACGTACATACCGGTTTCTTAAAAACAAGCCATGAAAGAAGGCTTTTTCATGCAGTGAGATCAACCCAACGATAAGTGTCAATATGAAACGTCTTGGAGATCTTGTTAGCCTTGTGTTATCTCTTTCTCTCTCTCACGCTGATAATTGAGACAATGATGGCACTCTGATCCGACCCCATTTGACAGCCCTGGTTCTAATACACGAGTCTCTGCGAGTTGTTAGAATATTATAGGATATACATACATATATCTTGCGTATCTCTATATATATATATCTCCCTCTCTCTGTATGTGTGTGGTTAATGCAAATCTTCTTGGCTTGTTCGAGGAGGATGCCTGTGCCGCCATATGTAGAGGCAATGTCAAGGACTACATGCTTGCACATGAAAGGTATAAGTGAAAGGGAGAAAAGTCCAACGAGAGAGTCAAGTAGTACTGGGAATTACTACTACACTCCACATTCAATTTCTAAACCCCATCACACGCTTCCATGCACGCCCTTCATTGTTTCTTACGTCAAGTCAAACAGTACCCCAACCCCTCTGCCACCTCATTAGTACACAACTCAGTAATCCTGACATAGATAGAGAGAGAACTTGACGCCACCCTATTTGCCCTCATGTGTATACTACTATTCAATTTCCAACCTCTTCGAATTGTTTCCAACCCTCCGCCCTCTCCTTCAATTAAAAAACCAAGATAATCATGACGAGTCTTGATAACTAGCAGTGAGCAATAAGGATAACATTGTAGTATACTGTTTAGGTATCGTGCTTTTTATTGTGGCCATCATGGCCCACCAGAGCTTCTCCCTGATGTCACTGGCTTTTTCCAACTCTTCCGCTTACGCCATCAGGAACGCATTAAATCACTGGCCTTTGCTCTGAGCGTGTTCTACAGTCAGAAATTGAAGGGAAGGGGAGAGTTATTAAATGGGGCGGAGGGTGGGTGAGTGACACGCGCCGGAGAAGGGGGTGTTGGGGGTAGTGAGTCAAAATGGTTGCAGAGACCGATGCAGGAGGAGAGGGAAGGGAAGGGATTGGCATGACACGGCAGGCATACGTAGTGATCAAAGGAACCCAATAGTAACACTGAGTGAGGAATCAGAATAACGCACGCCCCATGCAAGCCTCTCCTTCGTCCCCTTCAGGACCATCTATACGACAACGCGCTTCATACCCTGTTTTGATTTATCTCTCGTTTCTTTCTGATTGTAACAGGGAAAGCGTTTTTGGCATTTTTGTTTGGGAGCGGGTGATGAGGTGATGACGATGAATATGCATTTATGGAGAATATATATGTATAGGTGGGTCCTGCACAGAGAATTTCATGGTTGGGCCCCACTTGATCCCAGTGGCAAGTTGCTTTTGCAGCAGCTGGGCTTAAGCTGACACCATCAGAAGGAAAGGCCTCGGGATATTCATTTTTGGAGTCCTTTTGTACTTGTTCGTTTCCGGCCCAGCCCATTTTCTCACATGGTCCAGCCTCCTTACAAAAATTCTAATTCAAAATTCACAAATGTCCACTGAACCAATCAACCAATGCCTTTGCTGACACGGTCAAAAATTTTGAATGGGTCAACTGAATTTGATTTTTTTTTTTTAAATGCGTTGGGTTTGAATTACACATGATTTGTGCGCGTGTGCGTGTATATATACACATATATGAATATTTTATTTAGCCGTGAATGTTTTATATTTAAATATCAAGGTATAATTTTGACCCAGATTTTATTTATGAAGTATAATTTTGTCTCTGATCTTTTTTTTGGGTATAATTTCGTCCCTCATAATCAAAATTACACCCAAAGATCAAAGGCAAAATTACACTTAAGAAAAAAAGATAAAAAAATTACACCTAAGAAATGAGGCCAGGGGCAAGATTACGCTACTAAAAAATTAGGAGTAAAATTATACTAGAAAAATAAGATCAGTGTCAAAATTGCATCTTAACCGTTTAAATATTACTCTTCAAGACTATATATGAATATTTTTTTATATTTTACCTAAGTTATATTACTTTTTGCCTTAGATATAACATCCATTTTGTAGTATAATTTGTGTTACAAAATAGATCTTATTAATTATGTTACTCCTCCGTGAAGACCCAATTTGAATTTGGTCCTAATTATAAGTCCATTTTCTCTCTTATATTATACATTTTTTCAAAGATAATTCTTTTAATAATGATAGTTTTAGCAATGCTAAGGAATAACTACTTAATTATAAATAACCAACTTAACTTACTTCCTTAATCTCCTCACATAAGTCAATTTCTTATAATTAGGATCGGAGGAGTATTATTTTAAAGAGAATCATGCTAAGGTCTCAAGAAAAAAATTTACCAATAAGTTTTAATGACAAGTGAGTAGTTGTTATTTACCGTTTTGAAACTTATCATTATAAACTGTTTTGTTGTTATGAAAACTTTTTAATAATTGTGTTTGAGATTTTTTAACAAGTTATCTCTTATTTTAATTATGATCAAATTGATTTCAGTTTCATCACCTATTTTCTCAATCGGTTTTATATTTGGTTGCATTTTTTACACTTTGCTATCGAAAATCGTTCCCAATAATCTATAATCTATTTTGATGGCGATGTTTTCTCCAAACGATGGTTAATTGTGATTCTAGCACACCTCGTGGGATGTTTTCTCTCCCCGACCGACCATGGGATTTGAAGCAACATTTATTCACTATAAAAATTTATCAATACTAAAATGAAAGCATTACAGTGGGCTGATCATAATCTATTTTGATTTATATCTATTCAGGGGTGTTTAAGTAATTTCAAAATCACTTTTTAAAAATACCTTTTCATAAATTAAAATAAGCTCCTTCACTTTATTTTGGATATTATAAAAATATTTTTAAAATTATACTCTTATTTCTATCCATCGGTAAACGACAAGGTACAAGAGCGGTCTTCAGCGTTTCAAGAGTTCAAGACATTCCCCAACTGTTTTCTACGGTTGATGAGGCATGAAGGACACGGACACGGATCCTAAGCTCCACGTGATGCCTTGCTAAAACAGATTTAGTTTACGCGTTAGTTAAGCTTCCGTTTCACTCCATAAATTTTTACAGTTTTTTCAAACCAGTCTCAAAACATGCTCTCCTCACATGTTCAATGTGAGAAATATCTTTATTGATTTTTAAGTCAAGAAGAGTCAATTTTTGAGAGCAGGGAGTGGGTGTCTACTTGCGTTTATAATCCGAAATCAGTGAGCTAATCCTTCATGCTAGATTCGGTTCCCTCGAGGATCCATGATTCGTTATCCATCCGAGGGGAATGTTTTACCAAATTCCAGGAAATGTCACGGCGTGGTAGCGAGGGGGGTTTATTCATAATTCATAATTTCATAAATAGATCGACCTGGGTGGGGGAGTGAAATTACTAAATTCCCCGTACAAGCTGTCCGTGTGTCTGACATGCTGAATTCCTGTGAACAGGGGAATAGCAGGTCATTGGTCAGGGATTTTCAATTCAAGTCTAATGAGGTCATTTTAGTCATTCAGGTAGAGAGTAGTCCCTGAGCTCAAATCCATCAGCTGAAAATTTGACAAGAACTGAGGGGCGAATTGGTAATTAATTCATCTGTTTCATTGCGGTATCTGCAACAGCAGCACTTTCCCCCGCGAAGCCGTCAAAAGAAGGTTTCAGCTTGCTTGCAAAAGCGAAGGTTAAATAGACAAAAAATAAGTTTGACAAAACAAAAGATTCATTTTTTTTGGCATATAAAAAGGTATTCCCACATATCTTTCCCCGTCATTTTCCCCGTTTTATAATATTTGATCAAGATTAATGATTAACGATCAATGATTATCAATGATATAGTTGGAAAGAATCAGAAATCTTTATTTTCCGTTTCTGCTAAAACCTGAGGAGTAGCCCCTGTTCATCCCTTGGATTTTGCCCCCACCACCGCACCACTTCTCCCACTCTCTTCTCTTCTGCCTCCCTTGGCATCTAAAGTGTCTTCATTTTTGTCGTGTTCTTCTCTTCGTTGTCGCATAAACAATTGAAGCTTTTCAGTACTGGGTTCAATATTGCTCATAGCAGAGCAAGTTCTTTCCTGCCTGGGTATTTCTGAAGTTTGTCCTCTGCTGGACCAGATCGTGGTTTGGTCTCAACAAGATGTCTCAGACTAACTGGGAAGCTGACAAGATGTAAGCGTTCCTTTTTCTTGTTCAATTTCATCCATCTTTGTTGGGATTGTATGGCATATCATCCTGTTTGTTCACCTTCAATGAGCGTTTCCTCTTTGTTCTCTTTATTTATCTATTTCTTCTCTGGATTTTCGGGCTCTGATGTTTCTGGGCATCTTATTCAAGCTTTATTCTCTACACACGCTTGTTTTTAATGTATGTATCTTATTAATGCGTGAAGATATTATGCTGTGTATCTTAGGGTTCACAGTTTGCCAGTTTAAGGGGTTTACGTTCAAATGAATTATCAATGGGTTCGTTGGAGTCAATTTATGACACTGGAAAGATTCAATCTTTCTCTTTTCAAATACAGATACGACTTGTTA